AAAAAGAATTCAGAATGTACACACAAGATGCACTAAAATGCCCCACATGCACATTCCTTGCAGGGCATACAATACAATAACAGATTTACACAGATAAAACTGAAAAATATGTCTGAATACTGTAAATTCAGAAATTTTTCGTGAAAATTGAAATGGGAAATTTTAGCAAAAATAAACTAACATTTTAAATTTTGATCGCATTATTTGTATGCAGCAAATTGTAATAATTAAGGATGTTCGCTCCTCTTGTTATAAAATTTTTGCCAGATATTCGGAATCCTCTGGTTTTATCCATGTAGTGCCATTAAAAATTTTGCCCACTAACCCCTACTTTTCTTTCCATAATTTTATTACATACAATTTAAATGCCATATTTGACAATCTTATAAAATCCTTGTTATTTTTTCATAGTTTTTGGAAAGAAAAATGTGCTAATGTTAAATGTATGAAAAATCTAGAGAGAATAATTTCACGCCCAATTTTCAATGGCTTATATCTCGAAAACAAGCATACAGACCCTTAACTTTTATGTACTCTTTTAGTTCCTTTATCTATATACTATCAATTCATAACAGTCTTTTAAAAAGTTTGTTATTTTGAAACAGAGTAACAAACATCATTAATAACACATTTTTGTATCATTGTTTAAAAATGGCAATAATAAATTCATGCAGAAATTTCTGAATTTACAGTATGATAAAATGTGACAATACCGGTATCGAAACAGTTAGATGATAAAATGAGTATGATTTTTCTACTTCATTGACACTTAGGAAGGTTCGGAAGGATACATTCATACAAAAGAGAAACTGCTATCACTCCAGATATATCACTTGTGCAAAACACTATTCAATGATGTCACGATCATATTTATATATGTACAATTATGAGTTATTTTATATACAATGTTAACTTTTACACAAAAGAGATCTAACAAAATTGCATTTAAGTAAGAACACATTGTGGATGACTATAAAACACAGATATAAACATTGCCATTCAAAATTTCATTTAAAAATAATAGCACTTTACGATGCTTTTAAGGATTAAAAGTACAACTTGAAATTATGCTAAATTAAATATAAATAACACTTTTGTTCTTCAAGAAAAATGTACATCATAAAAATTCAAAATTCTAAGGGCTCCTCCATTATTTAAAAGGGGGTTTATAACCCTAAACAAGCACAATATAAAATTTTTACAATTCTTAAAACTCCTTAAAATACAACAGCCTACTAATTATAAGTACCTCCCAGTCCCATATAAAACCATTTCCGTAAAAACTCTTATCGGACTTCAGCATTTCTAGATTAAATTTTATACTTCATTAAAAGCATAATAGGAATCAGAATTTACGAAAACGTGACCCATTAAAAATAGAACTGTAAAACAACTAATTTTTACTGATATGTTATTTTGCGTTTGGCCCTTTCTAGACGACTTCACAGCCATTTATTTTCCCAGGTTTTCTTATTTTCTAGATGTATTCATATAAGGGATGATATCATGAAAGGTTTATATATTTTTCGTAACAAATTGTTTTCATGTTATTTTTCTATTCCCTAAAGTCGAGAAAATAAATCGCTTCGGAAAATAAGTTTGATTACAGTATTCTGAAGTTTTATTAGTACGTATACAGAAACTGCCAAATTGAACATATTGAATACGTCCTCAAACATGAGAAAATTTTGAACCCATTAAAAAGATGCTATAAAGTTATTTTCTTCGCATCTTCCTCATTAAAATTTTTTTTTTTAATCATCATCACTAAATCTAAATCTACGTACAAATAATTTGTCATCAATATTTTCTGATTTTCTAAAAACATGCTTATCCATAAAAATATTCAGAATAATATTTCATAATAATTTCATGATTCTTATTGTAATGTACACAAATTTCAAGGTTAGTTTTCAACTGCTGATACACTCCCACAGAAACTCGTTCAATCTAATAACATATAATACTGACATGACTGATTGCAAATTTCATTAGTTACATCTTTTTGAATTTTTTATACATGTTCAAATAAAATGCTCCGCAGGGCGCAGCTTGATATGACCGCAGAGGTCGAACCCTGAACAGTTGGGGCAAGTATGGACACAACATTCAAGCTTGATACAGCTCTGAATTTGGATTGTGATTAAATATTTGACACAGCATAGGTTTCTGACACAGAATGAATGTGGTCTAAGAAACTTAAAAATTTTAAATTGGACATTCACCTATTATGGTCCAATATCCAAAATCTAAATACATGGTTAGATTCAGCATATCAAAGAACCCCAAGAATTCAATTTTTGATGAAATCAAACAAAGTTTAATTTTGGACCCCGATTTGGACCAACTTGAAAACTGGGCCCATAATCAAAAATCTAAATAAATGTTAAGATTCAGCATATCAAAAAACACTAAACATTCAATTTTTGTTAAAATCAAACTAAGTTTAATTTTGGACCCTTTGGACCTTAATGTACTCCAATTTGAAAACAGAACCAAAAATTAAGAATCTAAATACACGGTTAGATTCGGCATATCAAAGAACCCCAAGAATTCAATTTTTGATGAAATCAAACAAAGTTTAATTTTGGACCCTTTTGACCTCAATGTGGACAAAGTTGATAACGGGGCCCAAAAATCTAAATACATGGTTAGATTCAGCATATCAAAGAACCCCATATATTCAATTTTTGTTGAAATCAAACAAAGTTTAATTTTGGACCCCGATTTGGACCAACTTGAAAACTGGGCCCATAATCAAAAATCTAAATACATGTTTAGATTCAGCATATCAAAGAACACTAAACATTCAATTTTTGTTAAAATCAAACTAAGTTTAATTTTGGACCCTTTGGACCTTAATGTACTCCAATTTGAAAACGGAACCAAAAATTAAGAATCTAAATACATGGTTAGATTCGGCATATCAAAGAACCCCAATAATTCAATTTTTGATGAAATCAAACAAAGTTAAATTTTAGACCCTTTGGACCTCAATGTGGACCAATTTAAAAACGGGGCCCAAAATCCAAAAACTTAATACACAGTTATATTCAGCATATTAAAGAACCCCAAGAATTCAAGAATAAAACCCCATTGAAATTGATCAAGAAATAAGCAATTTATAAGAAGTATTTTCTTTTGCACAATACTGTGCAATTGAATATTTCTTGCTATTGCGCAATACTGTACAATTGACAATTTCTTGCTATTGCGCAATATTGTGCTATTGGATATTTCTTGCTATTGCGCAATACTGTGCAATTGAAGATTTCTTGCTATTGCGCAATACTGTGCAATTGAAGATTTCTTGCTATTGTGCAATACTGTGCAATTGAAAATTTCTTGCTATTGCACAATACTTATTATATAAAAATTTACACATCCTGTTTGGTGTGTATCTCCTACAATATCATTATTATTTGCTTTTAAATATAAATCAGAAATAACCAACTTAAAATGGAAAATTTTAAAAGAAAAAAAAAGGAAAAAAAGGAAAAAAAAAAAAATCCCCCCCCCCAAATTTTTGAACCCCCTTATGATTCATCACCCCCAAACTCAATCCCAGCCTTCCCTTTGTGGTATGGTACCTTGCAGTACAATTTCAGAGAGATCCATACACTTGAACACAAGTTATTGTCTTGAAACTAGAAAAATGCTTATTTTTGGCCCCTTTTTGGCCCCCAATTCCTAAACGTTTCAGGCAATTACCCCCGAACTCAATTCCAGCTTTCCCTTTGTGATATGAAACCTTGTAGTACAATTTCAGAAATATCCAAACACTTACACACAAGTTATTGTCATGAAACTAGAAAAATGCTTGTTTTTTGCCCCTTTTTTGGCCCCTTATTCCTAAAATTTTGAGGCAATTACCCCAAAAATCAATTACAGCCTTCCCTTTGTGATATGGAACCTTGTGGTACAATGTCAGAGAGATCCATACACTTACACACAAGTTATTGTCTGAAAGTTACAAAATGCTTATTTTTGGCCCCTTTTTGGCCCCTAATTCCTTAACTGTTGGTACCATAACCCCCAAAATCAATCCCAACCTTCCTTTCGTGGTATTGAACCTTATGGTAAAATTTCATGGAGATCCATTCACTTAAACTAAAGTTAGAGTGCGAAAACCAATGTGTCTTCGGACGACGCCAGACGACGACGACGACAACGACGCCAACGTCATACCAATATACGACCAAAAAATTTTTAATTTTTGCGGTCGTATAAAAAGCATATTTCATGATTCAATAAAACTTAAATTGAAAATACCATACTTTTTAAAACTTGATTATCTAATGACAGATCAGGGCATATTGTTACGCTTTTTTGTCATCCCCCTTTTGCTAAAAAAAAAGGAGCTTCCTGTCTCCTGCCACGAAAATATTGGGTTCTGAAGATACAAAATTTTTATCTTTATTTTAATTTTTTCCTCTTATTGCAAATCACATATTTTTCAGTAAATAAAATTAATTATTGCAACGTACTCATTTGTATTAGCAACCAAAAACAAGAAAATTATATTTGTCCTAAACATTCAGAATACTATTTAGTAAGGAAAGATTTTTGACTTATGCCTGTCACAAATACCGTAACTCAAATATCAAATGCCCTATATTTTTTGTTAGTAATAAAATCTTCATACATGACAGTCTATGAGGCCATGTCTCTATTTTCATTTGTTTTGCGTCAAGTTAAATTTTCAAAATGTACCAAACAGTCCAGGATAAAAAAGATGCACAAAAAATTGATTAATTGATCTTTTTGTGTTTAACACCACTTGCAGCACTTTTGTCTATTGCATGGCAGCCAGTTTTTATTAGTGGAGGAAGCCAGTTTGCCCGAAGAATACCACCAACCTTTGGTAGGAAAACTGGCAATTCTAATCAACTAAGGTTGGAACTGAACACACCTGCCATGTGGGAGTTCAAAATCACAACCTCACAATTGATGGGGCAGTTATATCGTAGATGAACTACTTAGTACTAAGGCCCCTGCAATTCTTTTTTTTTTTTTTTTTTTTTTTTTTAAATCACACATGAACTTACATATGCCTCATGCCATTTTTTTAACATAAAAATATTGTATTAAGCAGACTACATTTCAGTATACAATGTTTTCATTTTAAAGCGAAAACTGACTTAAAGTTCAAACGTTCTCTTAAAACTCCTGATATCTTGATTTTTATGTTTGACCTTGGACCATCAAAAACCTAACAGTGAGCAGAATCAAAACCAAGGAAAACATAACTCTGGTCTTACAACTACCTTTAAGGATGTTCGCTCCTCTTGTTTTTGAATTTCTGCCAGATTTTCGGAATCCTCAGGTTTTATCCATGTATTGCCATTAAAAAAATTTGCCCACTAACCCCTAGTTTTCTTTTCATAATTTTATTACATATAGTTTAAAAAGCCATATTCGAAAATCTTATAAAATCCTTGTTATTTTTTCATTGTTTTTGAAAGAAAAAAGGTGTCAAATGTATGAAAAATCTAGAGAGAATCATTTCCCGCCAAATTTTCAATGGCTTATATCTCGAAAACAAGCACACAGACCCTTCATTTTTTTCTGCTTTTTTAGTTCCTTCATTTATATACTATCAATGTATAACAGTCTTTTAAAAAGCTTGTTATTTTGAAAAAGAGTAGCGAACATCCTTAAATAGTAAATTAGAAACGTGAAAAAGATTTAGAAGTTAACAAACAGGAAAATTCACAGAAATTTTAGTAAACAAGTATTAAAAAAACAAAACGAATAACTTAAAAAAGCATTTAAAAATGGCTACTATAGCTATTTTGTGTAAAAAATATTGTTTGATCAAATTTGATTCAGTCATAAATAAATTAACTTGGAATGCAATCTATACATCAACTTAAACAGGCAGTAAAAAATAAAGAAAGACGGCCATGGAATTTAAATTAAAAATATTTACAACAAACAAAAAATAAACGCAGGGATCATTTCAAAATCTGACAGTTTTTCCAAATAAATATAAAGAGGGAATATTTCAGTTGTACAGTTTAGAGAATATTCAACCATTCAACATGTTCAATATATTTCGATCACCACATACACATTTTTACACTTTCCATTAAAAGGGGTAGACAGGGTTAGTGATAACACTCTTATGTCCATTTCGATTAAAACTGTCATATTTTGAAATGGTTCCTAACTAACTAAAGCTACAATCTCGAAACAAATTAAAAAAAACATTAACAATAATAACTAATTGGACCATTTATTCTCGTCGTTGACGTTTCCTTGCCATTGCCAAGTCATTTTCTGTGCTCCTTTTATGATTTTTGAAATGTACTTGTGATTGTGCCGTAAGCTGAAGTTGTATTGCACTGTAGTTACACTTTTCCGAGGAGAAAATTTTTCGCAATGCCAACATTTTATGACTTTTCAGACATAAAGTTACTGGTTCAAAAACAACTTTTTCTTCAATCGGCTCAGGTTCAGGCTCAGGAATGGGACTTTCATGAGAACTGACAGGAACGGGACTATTCGGTGAGACAGGGGTAATAACTCCATTTGTAAACTGCTGTTCTTTTTTGTACATCATCATATCTGATGGACTCTCTGCTTTAAGCATGGCGTCAACAGACATACCCATGAAAGGAGATCCGTTGGACTTGGTGCTCAAGAATTCCTGTAAATCGACCCTAGTGTCTGAAGACGATGTAACAACAGATGTTGTACTAACAGCTGTAAATGGCTCTCCATTTCCGAGGAGATACTCAGGATTAAGTATTGAATCACCGCATGCTTGTGCTAATGCCTCTATATTAGGATTAGGTTCTGTGTGCAAATCATCATCAACTTTAGAGACCATGGCTTCAATGTCAGACATAGATTTGATTTGAGAGTCTTCTGTTTGCCCATTTATTTTGTCTGACTTTTCTTGGTCGTGAGTTTTACCTTTCTTGGCTTTCACTTTTTTCTTTTGATTTCTATTTTCATCTTGGATGATTTCTCTCTCTTCTTCCGATTCCTCTTCTGATTCAGATGAAGAAGATGACTCATCGCCATCCTCACTAGTCAGATGAATCAGTTTTCTAACTGTGGGATCAAATTTGGCTAGCGAATTCACCAACTGTTTTGCCCATGTTATGTGAAGAACAGGTGTTTTACTGTCCTCTTCCCATTCACAAATTCCATCATAGAATCTAAGAAAGTCTGCGTAGCATTCAGGATCATACGAAATTGATGTCTGGTGAATACGGGAAGCATTTTCACTGGCTACCTGCTTCATCATTGTAGGTATTAAATCATTGCCAACTTCTAGAAATTCTTTGTAAATTTCTTCATCTTCTCGATTGTAATTAAAACTGTAACATACATAATATATGAATAAGGTGACATTTATATATAAAAATAAGGAGATCAATAATATAACTATCAACAATAGAACAAGGAAATGGAGAATGTGTCTATGTGACACAGATGATGCCCCTGCTTGCATATAACGTTATAAAGGGACATAACTAGAGAACTGTAAAAGTGATACAACCCAAATTCGAACTTGATGTGTTTTTATCGTAATAAGCATTGTGTATAAGTTTCATAACATTTGGTTGAGGCAAACTAATGTTAGAGAAAGGAAACCAATTTTGGGACGTACGGACGGACAAGATTAACACATAATGCCCCCTTTGTCTAGTGGAGGGGGCATTAAAATGAGGGTGTAAACAGATGGATCCCAAATTTTAAAGAACTTGTGCTTGCAGATTGCACGTTCATCAACATTTGCTCATCATCTCCTTTTAATCATACATGCAATACCAATTGCAAACAAAAGTAATCTATTAAAAGTATATTATTTGCAATTCAAAATATGAAGATTCACAAAATGGATAATTTAACTTAAAAATTCGTAAGGGGTCTCGCCTACTTTTTCTGTTAATCGCAGGCGCAACAAAAATGAGGAAGTAAATCAATAAAAATATTCCTCTTGATACTATCTTTTGATTGTAAGAAGCTTCTGTCCAAGTTTGGTAAAAATCCAGGATAGTTTATGAATCTAATAAATGTTTAAAAACTTTAACTGCAGACTGAATGTAATGTTAACTGGAAGAAAACAAAATTTCCTTCTAGATACTAGCATTTGATCATAAACAAGCTTCTGTCCAAGTTTGGTACAAATCCAAAATAGTATAAGAAAGTTATTAAAATTTTAAAAACTTTAACCACAGAGTGAATGTGTTGTTTCCTGGCAGAAAATCTAAGTCCATTAAAAGTAAAATACGGAAAAAATGGATTTATTTTTTTACAAAATTTCCTTCTAGATACTAGCTTTAGATCATAAACAAGCTTCTGTCCAAGTTTGGTACAAATCCAAAATAGTAAAAGAAAGTTATTAAAATTTTAAAAACTTTAACCACAGAGTGAATGTGTTGTTTCCTGGCAGAAAATCTAAGTCCATTTAAATAAATAAAATAAGGAAAAAATGGATTTTTTTTTTTACAAAATTTACTTCTGGATACTATCTTATGATCATAAACAAGCTTCTGTCCAAGTTTGGTAGAAACCCAGGATAGTTTAAGAAAGTTATTAAAATTTTAAAAACTTTAACCACAGAGTGAATGTAATATTTCCCGGCAGAAAAACTAAGTCCATTTATAAGTAAAATACGGAAAAAAAGGAATTTTATTTTTACAAAATTTACTTCTGGATACTATCTTATGATCATACACAAGCTTCTGTCCAAGTTTGGTAGAAATCCAGGATAGTTTAAAAAAGTTATTAAAATTTCAAAAACTTTAACCACAGAGTGAATATTTTGTGGACGCCGCCGACGACAACGACGCCGTCGGAATGAAGGATCGCTATGTCTCGCTTTTTCGACTAAAGTTGAAGGCTCGACAAAAAAGCTACCTGTATAATTCTAACAAAAATAGAAATACATCCCTAATTTAATTTGAAAACTGTTATCATGATTTCAACAGTAATTTGTTCATTTTCTGTTTGATCTTACTGTCTAATATTTTCTTTTAGTTCAGGCCTTATACTCAAAAATATTAAGCAACGATATTACACATTTATGTTAATCTGTGTCAATTTATCAATTAAATGCATACAACTTCATTCATATAACTGAACAAATATTTCAGTTTCACATGAGAAACCTAATACGATTATTTATGACAAAAGAGACTATTTTTCGATCCTGATTGTTAATTTTCCTTTTCTTGACGGTGATGATTCTTTGTCCTCTGAACGGTGTGTTTATTTCACAACTTGTTCCCTATGCCCGTGTAAGCAGTTGCGTTTCAGATTTCAATGAATGTAATTTATTTCAAAATTGGTAAATGATCAAGTCAGGAATTTTCTTACCACATCAAAACTTTTAACAAATTCTTACAAAGATACAAAGATTTGGTTAGAAAGTTTAGCTGTACCTCTCGAGTTTTGATTAACAAGAGTGCACACGCTGAAATGTCTCGCCTTCTTTACTAATCATTGATATTATGTTGATAGTCCTAAATATAAAGCTTTATTACAACTGTCACATAAACTTAACATTAACCAAGAAAACTAAACATTGACCAATGAACCAGGAAAATGAGGTCAAGGTCAGATGAACCATGCTAGGCAGGCATGTACAGCTAACAATTCTTCCATACAACAAATATAGTTGACCTATTACTTATAGTTTAAGAAAAACAGACCAAAACACAAAACTTAAAACTGAGCAATGAACCTTGAAAATGAGGTCAAGGTAAAAAAAAAAACCTGCGTGACTGACAAATAGATCATAAAATATTTCCATACACCAAATATAGTTGAACTATTGCATATAGTATTAGAAAAAAAGACCAAAACTCAAAAACTTAACTTCATCAGAAGGGATTGACAAATATGGCCATTTTTTTTTTATTTCCTCTTGAGTACAGACAAACCTGTGCACAAGGAAAAGTTTTAAGGCATTGCAGAAACTGGATAAATATTTGTCAATTCCTTGAGATGAACCTGAAAGACCCCCCCACCCCAAAAAAAAAACAAAAAAAAACTAAAATTATCTTCAATCTTTGATCAAAATATTGTAAAAAGTCATATTTTCATATAATCTATTTATCTATTTATGTTGCTATGCTAAAATATTTTTTACTTATCTCAATACTTATCTTATTTCATATGTATCAAACATCAGTAAATGTGATTCTGTTGTGCAAACAAAATTTCAAAAGTTCTTCAATCTGTACATATTCAGCCAATTAATCTTTATGAAGGGACTGGAGTGAACTGTATTCTATGTTAAACATTCATGCATGAGTGACCTTATTTTAACATTTTCACACCTTCCAATGTTTTTGTTAATCACGGTTTAGTAATGATCCCTTAAAAGTTTTTATTATTTATTATCATTATTAATGTTATTTAAAGATTTTTATAAAATAATCTATTTCAATGTAAGTAATCAGCAGTTAAATAATAAAATACATTCCATACACCAAATATAGTTGACCTATTACTTATAGCATCTGAGAAGAAGACCAAACAACAGAAACTTAACATTGACCAATGAACCATGAAAATAAGCTCAAGGTCAGATGAAACCTGTCAGACAGACGTGCACACCTTACAATCATTCCATACACCACATATAGTTGACCTATAACTTATAGTATCTGAGAAGAGGACCAAACAAGAGCAACTTAACATTGACCAATGAACCATGAAAATGAGGTCAAGGACAAATGACACCTGCCAGTCAGACATGTACACCTTACAATCATTCCATACACCAAATATAGTTGACCTATTGCTTATAGTATTAGAAAAACAGACCAAAACACAAAAACTTAACATTGACCAATGAACCATGAAAATAGGTCAAGGACAAATGACACCTGCCAGACAGACATGTACACCTTACAATCATTTCATACACCAAATATAGTTGACCAATGGCTTATAGTATTAGAAAAACAGACCAAAACACAAAAACTTAACATTGACCAATGAACCGTGAAAATGAGGTCAAGGTCAGATGAAACCTGCCAGACTGACATGTATCCCTTATAATCATTCCATACACCACATATAGCTGACCTACTGCTTGTAGTATCTGAGAAACGGACCTAATCACGTAACTTTAACCTTGATCACTGATCCATGAAATGAGGCTGAGGTCAGGTGAACCCTGTCTGATGGACATGTAGACGTTGCAAGGAACCAATATACCAAATATAGTTATCCTATTACTCATAATAAGTGAGAAATTTACATAACAAAAAAACTAAACTTTTTTTTCAAGCAGTCGCTGAACCATGAAAATAAGGTCAAGGACATCGGACATATGACAGACGGAAAGTTCGTAACATAAGGTATCTGCATACAAAGTATGAAGCATCCAGGTCTTCTACCTTCTGAAATATAAAGCTTTATACAAATAATTTACGCCGCCGTCGCCGGATAGTAATACCTATGTCTCACTTTCTGCGACTTTCGTCGCAGGCGAGACAAAAATGGGATATCACATCCTAATTTTTATAGTGATGTTGTTTATAAAGCCCGTAAATTCAGATCCATGTAAACTAATTGATCCTTAGAATAAACTTATTCTTAAAGGTTATCAATTTAACACAGTTGTAAAATCTTTAAATATTGTTTTTATGGGTGCTAACATAGATTTTGTTCCTAATACATTAAAATGTAACCAAATATATATTGCTATATCTGTACAGTTATAAGATCTCATGATCCTACATCCTGTCAACAGTTTATTTATATTTTGGCATTGCACAAGTTTTGAATTTTAGAAAAACGATATCATTCTGGATATCTGTACCGTAGAAAGGCTTGTATAGTTCGCAGTGGTACATAGTCCAGACCCCCTTCTCCCCACGAAATTTTAGGTAAAAAAACTTTTTGTAACTGTTAGAAAAGGTCTAATGAAACTCCGGTAATTTCAAATCCTGTGCGGTCGTTTGCGGTATTTTCTTGGAAAAACCTGTTTTCCATCATCAAACAGAAGCTGAAACTGCTTGTTAATGATTCTAGAACGCTTCATGATTGTTAAAATAAGTTAAATTCACTTAAAAAACAATTTAGAAACTTGTGTATGTTTAAACAGGAAGTTTAAAAAGCACGTGTAAAAGAAGAAATTAACCGGTGAGAGTCGAAATCCGTACATAACAGATATCACTATAATACGACTTTGAAAGTAAAACAGTTCCATCCTTTTGTAAAACAGTCTTTAATATATCTATCACATTAATGTTTGAAGGGTCTTAAGCTAATACAAACCATATTAGTCAGTATGAAACACCAAAACGGAACGAACAATAACCGATTTCGTTTTGTAGTTTACAAATTCTAAGCTGGTTTACGGTTGTCTTTTTCACTATGTTTGTATCGTTTCAATCGAGCAGATACCAGTTTATTTCAACCAATGCATTGAAAAGAAACGAGAAATTTGTAATGAAAGGTTTAGTTTTTATATTTATCAGTATTAATTTGATATTGAATAGAAATAACTTATTAATATGGATGAGTTAAAATTATTAGTTTGAAAAATGATAAGAGCGCCCTCTACAATAGAAATAACAAAGATGGCGGAACGTAAACAAACCACCTCGACCGCGAAATTGAAATTTTTCTCTTATTTCTTGCTTATTGTACTCTATAGTCCGCACCCCGTCTGGAAGGTCCAATTTTGGAGAATAAAACCGCGGACTATACAAGCCTTTCTACGGTAGCTAAAATTCTTGACATAAGTAGTCATTGCTTGTATTGTTGATTAAGTGTTGATGTTTTTACATAAAGTGTCAATTATTTCATGCATATTAAGGATAATACAGTTGGTTAATGTAAAATCAGAAAATTTTGTTTGCACTTAATATTACCATTGTTGACCAATCAACAAACTATTGCGAATCAAGAAATTATGCATACAGAAAATGCAATCAAAATAAAAATGTGAGTTTTTAATTTTGGTATTCTATCCTGTTGCAATTTATCAAAACATCGCAATAATTTTTGAATTTACAGTAATCATTCAGCCTTGAGGATAAGGCCGAGTAAACAACAATATCAACAGTCACTGGTTTTCAAACTAATACCTACTTTTTCACTGCATTAGTTGCTTCTGCCCACGCTTTTAATGCTCGTTTATAATTCTGATTTCTGTAATGGTAACCGCCAAGGTAGGTATATGGATAAACATGTTGATTATTGTAATGAACTTTAGATGACTGGATTGCTTCCTCAAAAATGTCCACAGGAGGAGGCCTTCCAGGTGTTGGTGAGATTTCTTCTAAGTCTCCCAAATTACCCAAAGCCATTGGGTATCTGTAGAAAGGAATTGATAGGTTTGAATTGCTCTACATTTGTCATTTCAGGGCTTTTATAGCTTGCTTTGAAGGATTAGTTTTGCTCATTGTTGAAGACCGTACAGTCACCTTTAGTTGCTAACTTCTACCTCATTTGGTCTCTGGCGGAGAATTGTCTCAGGGCTATTCCAGAAAAAAATGTATGGGGGGGTTGGAAGGCAGTTTTTGTCAGAACCCGCCACCCAGACAATTGTAATTGAGAATCATATAGTGCATTATAGTGTGAAAAGTTGCTCTGATACCCATCACCCATGTATTATTAATATAAAGTGCCTTCCAACCCCCCCATACAGTTTTTTCTGGAATAGCCCTCATTGGAAATCATACTACATCTTCATACTTACATCTTGATAGTTGCAATGTCTGTTTTTGTTATTTATAGTTCTTGTAGCAGCACAAAAGATGGTTACAGACATTCAAAGTTATTTGTTGATACATTTTCCCTAAACAGATATGTATCATGATTATTCAAAACTTTAAAGAAAATTTTTTCTCATGAATTCTACAACAAAACTTGCAAGAATTTTTATTTTTGCACCTAATTCTAATCTCCTAAAGATCAAATGTAACCAAATTTAGTGAAATTAATTTCTAAGCAAAAATTTCACTCTGCAGTATTACGTGTTTGAATAAAAGGCTGTTAGTATCCAATTCTATGCTGTTTTTTTTTTGTTGTTCCTTTTTTCAATTAATTTATCTATTATCTGTTGCATTACACATGTAACAATAGATCTGATTTTTGGATTCCATACAATTCTGGAAATCTCTAATTTTTGGCACTTTATTTTATTTGTCAAGTTCAAAATAAAAAGTTTTTCCATAAAAATACATACAGTACAGTGAAATATAATGAACATGAAACATATGAGCAAAATTTGCTTGAGCGCACAATTTTCATTCTGATATAAATATTTGTTTGTTCTAGTGAAAAGGCTTTCCTTTTTGTTTTACAGGTTTTCATTCTTTTATCATGTTGTTATATGTGTGTTCCTCCTGTTAGATCTTGAAGCAATACAGAGCTTAGTATTTTGAACAAGTGACTGACCATCATTGAAGACCTCATGAAATCAAGTTTTATACCTCTGTTGGGTTGCCGTTCCAATAATAATTACCCCATACCATTTGAATTCATGGTCTCTATTTCTATAGAAATGTTCATACCAATAAATGTCACAGTAAACTTACTTTGATAAATGGCCCAAATCATACAACAACCACAAAAGTTCCTGTAAATACACAACCATTTTTATTTTAATATTAATTAATTACAGTATACTTCAGAAATAGTCCTGGCATTAAAATTAAGTTCTATCCAGAAATAAGAGCAAAAAAAAAATATGTGTTAAGGGCTGTTCCATTAAAACATACTTGGTACCGAGGGAAGGCACTTTGAAAATGGGGCAACCACCTACAGAGGCAAATAAAAATTTCATTTACATTTCCACTATGCAAAAACATAGATGACACCCACCTATAGTTGAGATTTGGACGTGCCTTCCCTGGGTCCCATGTATGTTTTTATGGAATAGCCCTAAGGATGTCCAAAAGTTATAGTTTGACTATTTCACAACTAAAAAAATGCGCTAGCAAATATCCCCTTTTTAAATCAAAGTAATAATCCTCCTCCCTATGTTATTATAGGAGCAAGCATATAAAATTTTAATGATTTCATTTTTCAATAATAATATTAAAAAAAAAATTGAACCCAGCTGGCAAAGCATAAGATTTGAAACACTATGGATTCATTATTACTTGTTGAATACCAATTTTCGTGAGATTCATGAGTAAAGAACCAATAATTGAAATGTCATACCTGTTGTAATGATCCCATCTCTACACTATCCACAGTCAAATTTATGGATGGATTAATTCCACTAACAATGGCTGCCACTTCCATGTGTCTATTACATGTAACTGGCTGTCCATTTAAATACAACCAACTCTTTTCTACAACACTAGCTGTTATTGGCTGGCCCCTTTTGTCTTCATTTCCTTTCCCTTAAAATAGAAATTTCTAAACAATTTATCATTCAAGTACGATGAACCCATGAAAAATACTGAGAAATTGCATGCTATGACAGGTGAAAAAGTAAAACAAGAATGCATGCATTGCCGTGCTAAGGCCAAAATAAATATGTGTGTTTACTGTCTAACTGTTACCTGCAAAAAAAATGTTGGTTGGTCGGTCGGCAAAACATTTTTTTATATTTGATCCACAAACCCTGATATAACCTTATCCTAAGGAAAAGGATCAGGTATTGTAATTACCTATATTTCCGACAGGGACAGTTTGTTGATGTTTTTACTCGGTTTTACACAATACTAGTTGACGATTTTTGGCATTAAGCTAGCGGTTGAACAAAAAGAACATTAAAGTGATGAATAATACCAGTGAAAATATAATTTGCCCAATTTTCAGTGAAAAAAAGAAAGGTAGGCTCTCAAAAATTAGGATCAGTAAGGGTACAGTAAACACACATATTTTTGTTTGGCTTATGGCCAAATAAAAATATATGTGTGGTTCCAGTTACATCCTGAAAAAAAAAATAGGGTCGGAAGGTCTGCATTTTTTAAAAAATATTTTTTTGGGTCAAAATCCAGAAAAAAAATTGTGTGTTCACCGAGTCCGATTCCGGTATTATACACACCCCTACCGGAAGTTCGCCATCTTCTATGTTTGGTTGTAAAATAAACAGACATGTTACCTTTTTAGTTAATTTTGTTGCATTCTGTAAGAATTTGTTGCATTTTTAGCCGTAGTAGATACTTCTAATGTAAATTCAGATGACAGAAGTCTGTGAATTTAATTATTGAAATTCACATTCCACTAAATTGGATTGTTCAAAGCTTATTTTTCAGAAATGGGAAAAAAAGTTCTAGGGTTGGGGGGTTAAACTAGAGTTGGTCAGGTAACTGGAACCACACATATATTTTTCTTCGGCATAAGCATACCCCCCTTAGAACTAAAAGTATCAAAAACAGGAAGTAAGAGTCTGACGGATAAAAAGAGTGCTCACTATTAGAACTCATCATTGTCAAGCTGCTGACCAAATTTGAAGTCATTCTGTTTTGTAGTACTGGAGAAATGTGTGATGAAAAATTTAAAGTTCATTCAACATATTGAAATTTTCAAAGTATTGGCAAACAGGAAGAAGGTCATTGACAGATCAGAAAAGTGCTCATACTTTACAACTCATCATTGTTAAACTGCTGACCAAATTTGAAGTCATTCTGTTCAGTAGTACTGAAGAAATGTGTGATGAAATATTGTGGAACAGATGAAAGGACAAGGTGACCCCCATTCTTAGAGTGGGGGTATAATAAAATACTAGGAGGGGGTTGTCAAACATCGCTTCGAAAGCAGGCCCCAGGAGAGAATCACATAAAATTTTGCAACAGAAACACCATGTACATGACGTACAAGGTAAATCTAAACTGGATTGATAAATTACCATGTCAATAAGAATACAGGTGGTATCGTCAATCATCATTTTGAAAGCAGGCACCCGCCGTGACAAAAGACTCACATATACTTTGCAATAGATACACCATAATTATACCAGGCAAGTTAAAATTGACTAATTACCATGCCATGTGACTTCAGCAGTTTCTTTTAGATCTTCACCAAACACAACCCAAGCATGGTCTTCTGATAAAGATAAATGTACATCATTGTATTCTAGTATCTGGAAGGCAGCAACTACTGCAAAAGCAACACCAAAACAGTCAAGCTTGTTCCCTGAAAGAGAAAAAAAAGTGCAAAGTTTATAAAACATTAACAGACCGCATATGACAACCATTCTTACAAAAATCATCTTTAAATAATTAAGCTATATTTTTTAAATAACCTGTCTAGTACTTTATATGTATTTACATCACTACCAATGAAGCAATTTTCTGCTTTAACCATAAGAAATCAAGACAATATGTGTGTGTGTATCAAGTGCTCACAAACATGTTAAATAAATGGGGAATGTGTCCATGGGACACAGATGATGCCCCCGCTTGCATATAACGTTATAAAGGGACATAACTTAAGAACTGTAAAAGTGATGCTACCCAAATTTGTACTTGATCTGATTTTGTGATAATAAGCATTGTTTGTAAGTTTCATAACATTTGGTTGAGGCAAACTTAAGTAAGAGAATGGAAACGAAAACGCATCTGCTGATGTTATTCAGCGAGTATATTTATTAAAAAAAAATATAAAACATGAAATATTTATCTCAGTGAAAAACGAAGAGGAAAATAACTGCCAGTGCTGCCCTTACTGAAATAAATTTCTTTGTCAAGTTTTTTCGGCAAAGAAATTTCATTTTTGGCTTAAAAATTGCGATTACTGACCATTAACATTTACTCTGAATGACATATTTGTAGATCTAGAAAGTCAGTATATCCCATCTTGAACATTAGAGCATTCCTGATGACGGTTAATCAACAATAAGCACTCCAAACGCATGAAATTTATAAAGTGTTGTTTTCATACATGTTTGTATTTTGTATAAGGTTTGGGACTTTCAAATATATTTGACTCATCACTGAAGACATTAATTGTCGAAATATGCATCTGGTGCAATGAAATTGATACGATTAATGTTAATTGAATGATTTATCAAAGCAAGTTATGTTGCCTTCAAGAATGATTTTTTTATAATTTGTTAATTTATTTACAAAAATGTACATGACAGATTCAGACAAGATTTTAATTATTAAGTATTCATCCTGATTTTACCCTGAAAACATTACATGCATTAGGAATTTTGTGATTCTATGTAATACCACAGATTACTCAAAGTCTTAGGCAGGTCATATTAGTCAACAGCATTGTATCACTGTTAACACCCTCTTCCTGTGGTCTTTGGTGGATAGTTGACTCATTGGCAATCAAATAACATCTCCTTATTTTGATATGTTTTACTTCCTCATTGGTATCTTATTTTTAATATGGGGTATTAGACAATAACAATAATATCTCATAAAGGATGTCACATATATGAACAGAATATATGGTGGTTCTGTTTTTTATATTTTTGATTGTAGATTGAAAAGAGAACTGTCATGACGATGATGTTTTAATCTTGTCAATTGTGATCATAACAAATGGGTTGCAGTCACTGTCAGTCCTATTTCTAATTTCGTTTGATTTAAATAAGTAAAAGCACACGTAACAATATGTTAACTTGTAAATAAGTATACCAGTTAGGAAACTGTAAAGTGACTGGAGATGTGCTCTATCTTTGAAACTCTTTGATAAACAACACCAAACCACATCAGAGACAATTTTCACAAGTTCTCTGGTAGCAAATTTGTCAGGAAATTTTGTTTTGTCAACTGATCTTTTTATATGCGTCACAAATTTAGTGTACAGTGCATCTATGGTCGATAATTCAATAACAGGAAAAATGGGCTCCAGCGTGTTGGATTTGTCAGCATCACTAGATACCGCTCGGTTGACAGTCAAAATATTTTCAATTACTCCAAGCACAATAGACATTAATGTTAAGTTAGGTTCATTATCTTTCAGTTCATGTTTAAATAAATCAATGACATCTTGTATTTTTTGAAGGGGAAAGAATTGTTTTTCTATTTCTCGTAATCCCGCCATCTTGCATTTAGGAAAATAATATTCTAGCCTTTAATTCTGCATTTTTGCATAATTAAATATTTAAGAAGTTTTATTGGATTATTGACCAAAATTTTCATGATATAATATTTATCTTATCTTAATTTCATTGTATTCTAGGTTGTCATTGCTTTGCTTTTAAATAAATTTTCTGTTTCGTAATAAGTTTAGAGATTAATTATTATGTTTTAGAGAAAATGGCCGACAACGTGCCCGTCGCATCAGCAGCCAACAGCAATCAAGTCCAAAATGCCGAACAAGGGGCTGACCAGGCGGTAATTAACTTTGAAATAAGTCTATATGTTGATTTATTTTCCCAATATTACTTTATGTTTTAAATTTGTGTATATAAATAAGATTCTGATCGAAAGATAAAACAACACACAGCTGAGAATCTGATAATAATAATGTCTGATTCGTCAAGCTTCCGTTTCGACCTTTCCAGAAAGCATTTATTTTAAATTATCTGAACATCGTATGTTGTTTAACTTATGAACTTATGGTACGTCTGTTTTTCTGTCCATGTGAAGGGAAAGCACAAATGCCTTTTACAATGACATGGTCAGCATACAAGATTCATGATACAAAATGTAACTTGTAAGGCATTAATAAGTAAGGTGTTTTGTAGTGAAAAAGGGGGGGGGGGGGGGTCTTAAAATAATATTATGGCCTTGTAAGAGCTGAAAAGTAATAAACTTGTTTAAAGTTTATCACAACAAATGGACAAAAATTGCTGGTTTTACACCTCAAAAATTACTCGCGTACAGACACTTGCAATTGGAAAATTTTTAAGGCCTAGCATTCACAAGATATATATAAATTAAATATAGTTTATGTTTCTTAAAGATAAATCTTTTTTAATTTTGAAGGGCATTTTTTTAGTTTCTGCAGAAGGTGGTGTAAAAATAAACACAGGGGTTTTTCTAGGTATTTTGGGAAAAAGGACCCTGGCCAGTTTTGGGAATTTTTTCATGCGCTTTTCAATGGAATGGGGACAACAGCAAATATACCAGATTTGAGTTTTAGTGTGTTTAGTTCATTAAAAGTTATCTTTTTTATCAGTCGGGGGACTTATTGAAATAAGAGATTTTCAAATCACTTATTTAAGTAGCAAATTTCGAAGTTTTGTCACAAATTGTGATTTTGTAGTTTTACCAAAATTTTAAACACATATGTTTAGATAATATCTTTTCATTAGTAAAATTGAAAAAAAATGAACTTTTTACTTCTTTTAAGCAGCAAGGTTTATGCCTTTGATACAATCATTTAGCTGCAAATTCTATTTTAGTTGAAAAAATGCTATAAAAATGGCTTTACATAATGAACTGATTCTTTCTTAACAGATTTTTCCCAGCAGTGGGATTATTTTTTCTGTAAAATTCAAGGTTTCATCTTATAGATTATGTAATAAAATTCTACTGTTCGCGATCAAAATTTCACTGTTCGGGGGTGTTGAAATTAGTGGGGGTTATTAAAATAATGATACTTAAAGAAGTGATTTTTTGGAAGGAAATTAAGGTATGATACTTAAACAAGTGTTTTTTATGTCATTATCCTAGATTTAGTACAAGGTCATCACCTGACATGACCCGGTCATCCTATCAACACAGATGTTGGTTCTGATAATTTTAGCAACATAATTAGTCCCTGGATCATTAGTATTCTATATTCAAAGCTACAATAAAATTAAATCACTTAGTTTAGTGATTAATTTGTACTACTTAAATAGGTGATTATTAAAGAAAGACAACTCTTACTTCCAACCTTTATGGACATAATGTTACTTGAATCAGTGATTTAGAAAATCACTCATTTAAGTAAGTCCCCTGACTGTTTATTGTGAAAATAAAGTAAGAAACTTCCAGAATTTTACTGGCCCTTCAAAATTGAAAAGAAATTACCTCTTGGAATTGTAGATATATGTTTACACTATAAAAACATCTACATGTAATATCAACATTTATTAATGATTAGGAAAATTACTGTCACATTTACATGATTTAATTGGATTTTGACATGAAAATTTGTGAACTAAAAGTAATTTTGAGTTTCTGTATAAAATATTTCCTGATTTTTCTTTTTTTTTCCATATATCTTTTGCTTTTCAATTCTAGTGTTTATATTTCATCATCAACATGTATTTTGTCACCGGCCTAGAATTATTATTTTTTTATTGTATTTGATCGGCAAACCCGGAATTACCCTTATCCGCCCCGGAATCTGACCCGGTATTGTAATTGTCTTCATTTCCGGTTTATGGCATCCATTGTTTTTATACGACCGCAAAAAAAATTTTGTGGTCGTATATTGGTATGACGTTGGCGTCGTCGTCGTCGTCGTCCGAATACACATTAGTTTTCGCACTCTAACTTTAGTTTAAGTGAATGGATCTCAATGAAATTTTACCATAAGGTTCAATACCACAAAAGGAAGGTGGGGATTGATTTTGGGGGTTATGGTACTAACAGTTAAGGAATTAGGGGCCAAAAGGGGCCAAAAATAAGCATTTTTGTAACTTCCAGACATAACTTGTGTGTAAGTGTATGGATCTCTCTGACATTGTACCACAAGGTTCCATATCACAAAGGGAATGCTGGGATTGATTTTGGGGGTAATTGCCTCCAAATTTTAGGAATTAGGGGCCAAAATGGGGCAAAAAACAAGCATTTTTCTAGTTTCATGACAATAACTTGTTTGTAAGTGTATGGATCTTTATGAAATTGTACTACAAGGTTCCATATCACAAAGGGAATACTGGGATTGATTTTTGGGGTAATTTCCTCCAAATTTTAGGAATTAGGGGCCAAAATGGGGCAAAAAACAAGCATTTTTCTAGTTTCATGACAATAACTTGTTTGTAAGTGTATGGATCTTTATGAAATTGTACTACAAGGTTCCATATCACAAAGGGAAGGCTGGGATTGATTTTGGGGGTTTTCCCTCAAAATTTTAGTAATTAGGGGCCATAACAGGGCAAAAAAAACATGCATTTTTCTAGTTTCAGGACAATAACTTGTGTGTAAGTGTATGGATCTTTATGAAATTGTACTGCAAGGTTCCATATCACAAAGGGAAAGCTGGAATTGAGTTTGGGGGTAATTGCCCTAAACGTTTAGGAATTTGGGGCCAAAAAGGGGCCTAAAAACAAGCATTTTTCTAGTTTCCAGACAATAACTTGTGTTCAAGTGTATGAATCTCTCTGAAATTGTACTGCAAGGTACCATACCACAAAGGGAAAGCTGGGATTGAGTTTGGGGGTGATGAATCATAAGGGGGTTCAAAAAATTGGGGGGGGGGGATTTTTTTTTTTCCTTTTTTTTCTTTAACATTTTCCATTTTAAATTGGTTATTTCTGATTTATATATAAAAGCAAATAATAATGATATGGTTTGAATAGGCATACATGTGAACCTCCCGACGGGAGTACAATAATCCCGTTTTCAGGGGTCTCCTCCCGACCTCCTGTTGAAGAGGAAAAAATCCCGTGTATGAAATTTTTCATGAATGAAAAATTTCTGCCCAACATATCATCTCAGGCATCTGGTGTAACTGACATTACCTGAAGTTATATTTTACCTGTAAATCAATTAACATGCATAATTATATGGCTTCACTTGTCAGCTTGGGTGTCAAACATACTGGTAATCAACGATTTTTACCTCAGGCTAACTGCCGTTGTGTAACAAAAACTGTGTATTTATTGGGTTACTTCCCTTGATTTATCCTGTTTTAAGTTACTTTCCTTTTAATAATGAAAATTTTTAAAAGAATATAAATAAAATATAAATTGAACAAATAATCATAAAAGGATGGTTATTAAATGATTTTAAATGTCTTAGGACAAATAAAAAAATAATAATTTGAAAATTATTTGAGGATTCTATACTTCCTTTCAAGGCTTAAATTGAAATTTATATAATAACTATGACCCAAAGTTTACAGATAGAATGATTTTCTGAGTTTGCAAATAAAAACTATATGCAAGAGAAAAAAAAAAACAAAAAACATATTTGCAGATAGCTAAACAAATGTTCTGGTTGCAATGATTGTTTTATAGAATATGAAGTAAAAAATTTAAAGAACATACTGGAAAAAAACAATGTTAGATTGAACATGTAGAATATAAAGATGGAGAAACTTTATAAGTACAAGGGTACTATAAACATAATAAATTGGATGGAAAGTTGAAGAAAACACACTTTAAAAGACCATTTTTACAGCACACGGTTACATTTACAACAAAATTAATGTCGATTAAAAACCTCCTGATCTGAGTCCTAATCTCCTGACCAAAATTTCCCAATCTCCTGATCTGAGTTTCACAGTCCATCACATGTATGAATAGGTAAATTGAAAATTTTTAAGTTCTTAGACCACTTTCATTCTGTGTCAGAAACCTATGCTGTGTCAAATATTTAATTACAATCCAAATTCAGTGCTGTATCAAGCTTGAATGTTGTGTCCATACTTGCCCCAACTGTTCAGGGTTCGACCTCTGCGGTCGTATCAAGCTGCGCCCCAGCGGAGCATTTTATTCAATGTTGTTTTTGTCAGTCAGATAGGATTTTACTCGGATTTACACATTATTTGTTGGCGATTTTCGGCATAAAGCTAGCGGTTGATCAAAATGAACATTGCTGTCATGAATAATAAAGATGAAAATAAATTTTGAGATCGTTTGGGAATTTTGCTCCCAAAATTGGAAAAAATGTAGGGTATTTGCCATTGGGAATGGGTCCGAATACCGGACCCTGTGGAATGCTAGAAAAATCCATGAAACAAGTCAGGTAAAATCTTTCAGATGCCCCAGTGACTCTCAGGTAATAATTTTCTATTGTATTGATTTATATAGACAATAGAAGGACAATAGATATCTACTCGGGTGTTTTTCTTATTTTATTATCTTCTACAATTATGAAAAAAAACTGCCCATCAAAATCCAAAAAAGAATTAACCTTTATGAAAAACAAAATGCATTTAGCTTTTAT